AACTATGCTGCCCATCACTAGTAAGTTGAAATCGATAGATCCAATTAATTTAAGAAAGTCTGTTTTGAATTCAGTAAACAAATTTTGTTCCGTCTCAGACTAATTTCTATGTTTTGATAACTGAGCTTTTTATTGACTCAAATCGCTGTCTGTCAAATTATTCACAGTCATATATTATATGTTTAAAATTTTGGATTTGTCTGTTTTCATCACATAAGACTGCTTGTATATTGTTGATTCTTTTAATATATTGTTTTGTATTCCCATGTTCCATATGTATTTGCATAATTTTGTAGTCATTACTATATATGAGTCTCTTATTGTAAAATGTAATGTGTGGTATAAATCTGTGTAAGCTAGGTGACTTGGTCGAGGTCATCCATATTTGGTCCCATCTTTTGATGAAATCAAACTTTAAATTTATTTCAATATGAAATAAAGGAGCTTGATGACTCAAAGGCAGCAAATTGCTTTTAGCTGCTATTTTTGCAAGGTAATCGACCCATTTATTACCCTCAATCCCTATGTGCCTCTACCCATTTTAGAGTAACTACTCTCCCTATAGTTTTCAGTATTAACAAGTTGTTTATAATTTGGTCATTCAAGTAAGCATGAATGTCTAAATTATTAGCAGAGTCTAGTACAATTTTGTTGTCTATATTTATAGTAACGTGTGTGTTCGTTTGTAGAGGGTAGTTCTATATGTATCCAATCACCTTTAAAACATTGAATTACTCTGCTTGGTTATTCGAGCAATATTAATTTAACCTGTTTTGATGTTCTATATTTCTACCATCATGAGTTCTGAATAACCATACACATCCAATGTTCTCGCAGTCCTTACTACCGTCCATAAAAACATCAGTATTTTCAGTGGTAATTTTTGGTCCAGTACATAAACTTGTTGCAGGGTGTAGCCAAGATTTAAAGTCAGTGATTCTTTCCAGTTTTTTCAATGTCAGGTCTTTGTATCCTACCTGTCCTTTTCTAATATTAATAAGGTAATAATCTATTTTTCGATTTTCATTTAGATTGGATTTTTCAATAGTCTTCCCAATAGTATTGTGGCCTCAAATGAAAGCATACGATAGCCCTTACATATCTTAATTGCAATTAATCTTTAAAGCCTCTGTAACTTCACCAAAGTTTTCTTATGTTGTACAGCAATATACCAGATCTGTACAGTATAGAGCATCTTAGGAAGTACATTGGCTTCATAGATTTCTTTCAACACTTCCGATTAGAGACCCCATGTTACTATAGCAGCTATTGACAGTCCATTAATTCGTAAACTATAAAAATTGTCTAAATGTCTGTTCCAATTAAATTTTCTGTCAAAGAATAGCCCTAAATAAGATAATGTGTTACATTGAGTTAGTCTTACTGTATTGAGTCGTCGTATATCCAATTCTGAAAAAAAAATTTTGGGGGGGTAAAGATTAAATATTTTGTCTTTTCTAGATTAAAATTAATTTTGTTGCATTTAGTCCATTTTCCTTGATAATGCTATATTTCCTATTGTCTGTAATTATTCAAAATCTCATAGTATCATAAGTAATTACAAATCAACCATGTATGCTAATAATGTTGTATTTTTATGTAAGTTTGTTTTGAAAACAGTATTTATTTAGATGTTTCATCGTAAAGGTCATAGTGCTAATCCTTGAGGAGTCCCTAGAGTCAATTTCTTGTCAATATGATGAAAGTTTGTCTGGATTTTAAGTTTTCTGTCTGAAAAATAATTTTTAATGTTGTTATGTATGTTTTTTGGAAAGTTATATTTCTTTAGGTTATTTAGAATCCCAGGCCATCAGACGTTGTCAATGGCACCAGCGATATCCAAAGATATAACTATTAAATTACTGCTTTGCCGGAGTGTACTAGTGACATGATCATTGAATTCACTGAAAGTCGTCAGTTCCTAATTGGGGTCGGAATCTGAATTAGTGTCGATGGAGTATTTTGTTACTAATCACCTGATGCATTAATCTATTTTTAATACTTTTTTTTTTAAATTTCCGCACATTACAGGAAGCATACTTAGTGGTCTCAGTGAAAATGAATTAGCCTTAGGAATCAATGTTAATTTAACCATCTTCCTGCTTTTAGGAAATTCTTTTCTTTCGAACAAGGTTTTATATAGGGTGTTTCAGGGTTAAGTGTCCAAACTGCAAAAATTAACTAAGGACCTCAAAACAAGATATGTCTGCAAACGCTTTGTTTAGGAGATATTCACACCTGAAGATTTTCGTTGTTATGAATGATATGAAATAAATAAAACTTATTTATTTGTTCTAACTAATTTATTAATTAAATGTAAACATTAACATTCATATTAAATGTTGTTCAAAGTGAAGGTATATCTGTGAAGGTCCAAATGCTTTGTTTAGGAGATGGATTAGATAGAATACTAATATGGCCTGTTATCCCTAACTGTATAAAAACTATTGGAAACATAAAGATTAATATAATATTATTTAGAATTACTAGTCTTACTAGCACTAGAATTAGCACTGAGAACTCTCAATAACATTTATCAGTTTATAAGAGACTTTCGCAGAGTACTCATCATTTTTTTTATGCCTTTATTTCATCATTATGCCTTCCATTTATACTAATGGTGAATATGCTGATATGGTGTTTGTATAAGGATTTTTTTGTTGTGGGGTGACATTAAACAAAAAGCCTATGCAAGTCCTTACGAAGATGGATAATTGAATCTTGTGAAACAAGAACACATATCCAGAGCCGTTCTGCCACTACTGCTGTTGAGGAAAGATTCCGAGCCTGTCTTAATGCTCAAGGAAATCCCTTTGAACAATGTTTAATATGAATTTAATGTTTAGGTTTAATTAAGTGTATTTTTACTTGTAATACAGTTGTAAATATCATTAATAAATAAATAATAATAAAAAGGTTTAATTAATAAAGTAGTTGGAACGAATAAATAAGTTTTATTTACTTAATATAACGTAAATAATTCATAAAAACGAAAATCTTTAGGTGTGAATATCTCCTAAACAAAGACATACCTTCAGAGGAAATTTTTTTTCATGTTTTGAGGTCCTTAAATTATATTTTCAGTTAGACCACTTAACTCTGAAACACCCTTTATAGTCCAGCTAACAATTTTGGAAAGGTTTCAGCTATTAGTTTTATTAAGTTTGAGTCAATTTTGTCTATCCTTGGTACTTTCTTGTCATCTAATTTATTAATAACTTGTAATATTTCAAAGTCTCGGATATTGGTGTCATCTTCATAAGCTGGTGGGATAAGTATTTCTGTTCTTATTCATCTATGTTCGTTAGTGTCATTGTTTGTAGTATCGTCCTTAATTATCTTATTTAATATACGAGACAATGCATTCTTAGTTTATACTGTATATGTGTTCCTAGTTCATTCAAAGTGGTCGTAAGTAAGCTTTGGAGTTTTACATTATTGGGTAAAAACTTATACGACATTTGCCACGCCTTTGAAGTAATAGCGAATGTCTCCCAAGACTTTAATTTGGGACTTTTAATTAGCTTTTGGTATGCTTGATTACTTTTAAGATAGTCCACTTTCCTTGATTCACTCAGTCCCGTTGTCTTTTGTCCGGTGGTAAATTCTTCCATGATAATTTGTCTCTTTGGGTAAATCAGTTAGTTTAGGGTTCCACCAAGGAACTGACCTGTGTCCAGTTCGACTTTTGAAGTTGCCTGATCTTTTAAATGCAATATTCCAAGATTTCATGATAGATTTTGTCATTTTATTTATTAAAATATCAGTAAACATATGAGAAAACTCTTTAAGAATCAGTTCTTCAGTCTAAGCAACTGTAAATTCTATGTTGGTAAAATATTGAGATAAAAACTATTTTACTAACTGGTTACTATGACACCAACTCTCAGCTCTTTTTCATAATTGTTAAACATAGGAAGGAAGCATAGAACAGAATAATGAAGAAGAGCCACAAATAAATGGAGGTAACATGTGTAAGGAAGAAGAAATACCGCGTGAAGAAATAATGGAGAAGGAAGAAACAGAGGAAATAATTATGGCTCTGAAGAACAATAAATCTTATGGGAGTGGACGAAATACCAGCTGAGCTGCTAGAGAACGGCGGAGAAGAATTAATAAAACAGCTCTACGACTTCATATATATAATCTAGGTGCAGGAAACAATCCCTGAAGAATGGAACACGGCAGTTCTATGTCCTATCTTTAAAAAAAGGGACAAGTTGAATTGCGCTAACTACAGAGGAATAGCGCTGCTACCAGCTGTATATAAAGTTCTCTCGATAGCTATCAGTAAGAGGCTATTTTCAAGGGGAGAAAGAATTTGCGGAGACTACCTATGTGGCTTCAGGAAAACAGATCAGCAGTAGATCACATCTTAGTTGTCAGACAAATATTAGAAAAAACATACCAACATAACGTGGCTCTGCATAATGTCTTTATAGATTTTAAGCAGGCGAATACACCTCTATAGACATAGAGGAATTAACTCAAACTATGGGAATCCTAGGAATCCCAGAAAAATTAATTTGGGGGGAGGCAGTAGTAATATTGATTTAAAATTGTCTCATACAAAAGTGACTAGACATAACCTTATAAGAAATTAGACAATTTCTTGAGCAAACAATTTTTCGTACTACAACATTTTGTCTTATCAGTTAAATTTTCAAGGAAATTACAAAACAGCAGACCTAGAAAAAAACTTTATGTATTTGACGGAGAATGGTGACTGGAATACATTTTTGACTAACTTTTATCAGTTAGTAAAACAGTTTTACCTCAACATTTTACAAGCAACATGGAATCAACAGTTGCTGGGACTGACAAACTGATTCTTAACGAGTTTTCTCATATGTTTACTGATATTTTAATAAATAAAATGACAAAATCAATCATAAAATCTTGCAATATTGCATTCAAACGATTAGGCAACTTCGAATATCGAACTGGACATGAGTCAATTCCTGGTGGTTAATTAAAAAATTGCCACATTTAATGTTTACCTGTAACTAGATCCCAAACAATAATGCTCAAATCAGCATGGCCAGATACTACACATGATTCTGTTGATGAAATATCAACAGAAACAGTGTCTACTCCTCTTTTCCACTTTTTGAATAGAGTTCCAGATTGAAGATCGTAAACGACAATGTAGTTTGGGCTTGGTTCATCCACTTCCTGAGACAACATAATACATGATTACTCCACAATAGTCAAGACAAGGTTAATATTTAAAATAAGCTATTTCTAAAAAACTTGTACCCTATAACCCATGAAAGTAGTAGAGTAGGACACCATGGGATCAGTACTTGGTAAGGATACAGTGTTTCTTGACCAAAAGTGATACAAAGACATAGCATGGTCGATATACATGCTCAACTGCCAGGTTTTTCCATCAACCCAAAGAAGAACCATTTGCCCAGTTAATAGGTTCTAGATGAGTCCAAGAAGGGTATCCTGACATCAGAGTCAATCCACTACTAATAAAACTGGAAAATACATTGTCCACCGTATTCAGACCCAAACATGGGCAGAGGAATAAGCACTCCAGTCAGAAGAAGTTAAGATACTGCCTTATTAAATTTATATTGAAATGGTATAAATCTTCTTTTAAATTTTAGGTAAGTATTCATGATAGGTAGTAAATACTTAACTGAAACTGGAAGGAAATTCTGTACTAATTCTACTGCTATATATTGTACATACTTAAAAGAAGCATTATACTATTTCAATATTAGTTTTATAGTATTTTTAGTGTAGAAATATTTATAGTATTACATAAAATAACAGTAAAATTTTGGAATTGTACATCTATATTATTCTTAGTAGACACAAGACATCTCAGAATGAAATTTACTTTTATTCATTCATTCATTCGTATTTCTATCACATATATCATATATGTTTCCTATATTACTTTTGACTCTATTAGGTTCTATTTCTATAATTTTATTTTTAAGATACTCTCTTTTTTATATTTGAGCAATTTTTGCAATTTGAGCATTTCATTCTTTAAAGCTTGGAGAAGGCCAAGATAGTTCTGGCTAGGATTATTTAGAGCTTTTAATTTAGCAGCTTTTCTTTTTTCAGGCATGTTTAAACTATATTCATTGATCCATGTTATATTTTTTTTCCCCCTTTTTCTAAGACATGTATTTTTTTTTATTTGTGGGCCCAAGACTTCCATTAAAGTCTTATACTGAAGATACATATTACCGACCTCTTTAATATTATCTGTGATCCCTGCCCATGACTAGCCCATGTCATCACTATCTTCATCAGAAGGTTTTAGAACTTCAAATCTATTCTTAAATTCTAGCTCAAATTGATTTCTAATTGAGGAGATTTTTAATTTATCCAAATAGAAATTTTTGAAATCACCCACCCTCACCCCTGGCCCAGGAAAACCTCTGTATAGCCTAAAAGGTGAGGTACAGGAAAAAACAATATATATATATATATATATATATATATATATATATATATATATATATATATATATATATATATATATTTACAACTTTTCTTTAATCGACTTTCGAGTATTAAATTTAAACATAACCATTTAATTGGGAATAAGGTCACTTTTTTTTTTAAATTGCTAAAACATAAATAAATATCAACTACTTAAAATATATGTACATTAGTCATCTTATAAAATATAATGTCAGCATTATAAAATCATAAAACAATATTAAAAACTATTTAATCAACTCAACTATAGTTCTCATTCTGTAATTGTATTTCCACCTTTACCAAACAAACACAACATCAACAAATAACCAGCACTAAGTGATAAACCTAAATAAGTGACCTTATTCCCAATTAAATGGTAATGTTTAAATATAATAATAATAATAAAAAGGCTTAGCGAACCCGAAGATTCGATGCCAACACCACCAATTGCTTATTACACACCTCCCTCCACCGTTCGCCGTCCAAACCCAGTCCCTTCAGATCGGCTTTAATGCAATCTTCCCACCTTCGCTTCGGTCTACCCCTCGGACGCTTACCATTCGGCACAGCAAATATTAACCTTTTAGGAATTCTCTCGTTACTAAGTCCAACAACTTTACAAGCCCATTTGATTCGCCGCGATGAAATTATCTCAATTATATTACTCGGATACAGTTCACGCAATTCGGCGTTGTGTAACCGTCTGAACTCTCCGGATAACTCATCCTTCTTCGGTCCGAATATTCTACGCAATACTTTATTTTCAAAAACCTTAAGACGCTGCTCATCCCTTAATGTAAGCGGCCAAGTTTCGCATCCATAAAGAACTGTAGGCAAGATAATTGTTTTATAGATTCTAATTTTTAAGTTTCGGACAAGAGGCGCGAACTAAGTAGTTTTGTCACAGAAAAATAACAAGCATTTTCCCGCCATCAGTCTAACCTTAATTTCGTCTTCAATTTCGTTTTTTCTAGTTATCGTAGAACCTAGATACCAAAACTTATCTACCTGTTCAAACATATTACCATCTATATCGATATCACCAGTAGTATCGCCATTTTTGCAGCTAACCATATATTTTGTTTTATCCACGTTTATTTCGAGTCCTAGTTCTTTACCGGCTTTCATTAACGTTGTCGTATTTAGTTTTATAGTTTCAAGGTCTTCGCTTAACAGTACCAGATCATCCGCATAGCCCAGCACGGATGTTGTCCCACCCAGATCCAACCCTTTCTCGGTACGCATTACCTCCCTAATGGCATGTTCTAATGCCAAATTGAACAGGACAGGCGAAAGGGAATCCCCCTGTTTTAAACCCGAATGAACCTCAAATTTTTCGGACAAATTATTACCGATTCTAACTTTATTGATTGTCTCCGTCAAACACATCCTGACTAGATTTACTAATTTTTTAGGAATCCCCTGCTCGATTAGAATACTATACAGTTTCTGGCAGTCAATAGAATTGTAAGCCTTTTTAAAATCTATATACAGCTGGTGAACAATACCGTTGTACTCCAATTTTTTCTCTAATATTTGCCGTAAAGAAAATATTTGATCAATAGTTGAACGATTCCATCTAAATCCGCATTGGTAGTCTCCGATAATTTCCTCGGCGTATTCCGTGATTCGACTGGTTAAGATTAAAGTAAATATTTTATAACATACCGGAAGGAGTGAAATTCCTCGATAGTTATTACAATCCGTCCTCGGACCCTTTTTGTGAATCGGAATAAGAATAGATTCTTTCCATTCTTCAGGTAATTTCTCATTCACCCAGATCTTTTTAACCAACCGATGTATTTTAGAAACTCCAGCTTCCCCGCATGCCTTAATTAGTTCAGTAGGAATATTGTCGGTTCCCGCTGCTTTATAAGATTTTAATTTTCCGATAGCTAATTCAACTTCCTCTTTACTCGGTCCTTCTATCAACGGTTCAGCACTCTGGTACTCAGAAGGAGGACACAGATCATAATTTCCCGTATTTAAAATATTGTCAAAGTGGTCCTTAAATTTATTCAATATGTCAACCGGATCGTTCAGATTATTATTATTATCATCTCTAATTTCAGATGTTGCGGACCCTACACATTTACGTGATCTGTTTATACATTTGTACATGTCTCTTACGATATTTTCGATTCTATTAGTTTCTATAATGTTTAAATATATATATATATATATATATATATATATATATACATATATAGTATAGATAGACATTAAAATTTATATTTCTGAAATCTTATTTCTAATATAGCTTAGAATTTTAATGTAAATGATATAGAAAGATGTTAAAATTCTCTCAATACTGTATTAAATAGAATTATTATTAAATATGAATTTTGATAATTAATTGTTTATATGTTTTGAAGTTTATTTTAGTTAATCTTATCATAGTTTATATTTGCAAACAATGAAGTTTACATGAGAAAATAAGTTTTTACATGAAACACCAAAATAATTGTACCTATTTTTGAACTAGGTTTTGAAACTAATCCTCATATCACTCCTCATTCTAGCCTCATATCACAGGCACATCTATGAAGGGGGAGGGAGGAGGGATTTCGGGCTGAAGTCTTCCTCCTCCCCCAAAAAAAAGCAACTGATCAAAAAATAATATCAGAATAATCGGGTACGACTTTCGTTATCCCATCTTTCGCATGAAGGAATGATCCTCCTAGCCCCAGGCTTGGAAATCAGAAATCTTCCTATCAGATAGATCTGTATATGATTTATATAAGCTTTTTGGTTCTATGTAGTGATGGGGTGTGGCAGAAATTTCCCGTCACAGCGCCGACAGTGACAGCTCCGGGCAAATCATTGTGACTAATCACAACAGTGATTTTTTTTCAGGTGAAAAGTATATAATGGCTACTTGGCAAAAGTGTCACTATGAAATCACAGTTTACATGTTTAAACTTATATTAAAATAAAAAATAGATTTTTTTTTCCAGTGATAAATTTTATCTTTGATGGGGGAAAATATATTTGGGATCCCTTGGTTTCCTGTATACAGCCCTGCAGAGAATATTTGAATTTATTTAATTTTTATTTTTATTTGTTTTTTATTTATATTTCAACAGTTAAATGAAAAACTTTCCGTTAATTATTTGAGACATACTCATTCAGAAATATATGGCAATGAATGTTCAATTCATCTAATGTTCAAAAAGTATTTTTAATAAAATTTGACGAATAACTCTTATTTTAGAAATAATTATTTCATGATTATTCCTTTAATTCATTTATTAAATAAATGATGTCAACAATGCCCAGATTGCTGGAGCGATAGAAGTGATAGAGCAGAGTGATCAGAGCTGTGATTTCACAGCACCCACAGTGACCGTCACTGTTGGAGCACAGTGATTTCACAGCGCCAACAGTGATCGTCACTGTTGGTGTACATTGATTTCACAGCACCAACAGTGACTGTCACTGTTGGGGCACAGTTATTTCACAGCGCCTACAGTCACTGTTGCTGTGATTTTGGTGCGCCTGCCACTGTGATCACCAGCTCCGGATATATACAGTCATTGTGACAGAATCATAGCTCCACCTATATAGCCCCATCACTAATTCTATGTCAAACTGCCTTTTCTTTTATAATGATCCTATAATCCTTTTCCTATTCCCTCTGGATGATGATCCATCCGCTTGTACCGTTAGTATTTCACCCTCCCACAGTATACATTTTCCTTCATCCAGTTAGTCATCTTACCCCTAAATTGAACTACGCTCTGTCGAGGCCTTCTGATTACTATATATAATACCTGAACAACATAAATCTAAATATTGCTGTTAAGCAACAAGTAAGAATTATTTTAAAAACTTATTTGGTACTTAAGATAATTTTGCCTAGGTCAGCAAATAGTATTAAAAAATAATACCTTAGCCACAACAGAAACGTAGCTGCCATTGTGAGTTATAGCTGACAAATTTGTTAGGAAATCATGTTGTGGTATTCTCAAGTCATATAGCAATTTTCGTGAAGATAAATTCCAGACAAGAAGAGGCATTGGCTTCTGTGTTTCATCTCCACACACCAGAATCCTTTATTAACAATAACATAAGTATCCAAGAGATTAACCAGCAAAAATGTTTGAAGTTTTATTGACATAAAATACTTTCTAGAATGCAAAATTCCAAAATTCTTAATTAAAAATAATGATATAATCCAATATTATAATAATAAAGTGTATTATCAGAATATTGCTAGGAAATGAGAACAATCAAACTAACCAAAAAACTAAAACGAACATCTTACTTGTTTTTCATATTCACTTGTGATATAGAAGCCGACAGTTTCAGAAAATATTTTACAGCACTTTAGTTCCAGAATAAAATTATTTTTTGATTTCATTCATTATCACAAACCAAGCTTTGTATGATTCTGTTTTTAAAGAAATCCCTTTATTGACCAAAGGTAATTCATTTACTTTTGTATCAAGGGGCAGAGAAACGTTTTTTCATGTACTTATAGCAATAAATTTGTAATTGGGGTGAAAAATAATTTTGGAAGTACAAATACAGTATAGAAAAGGTGTGATAATCTGTGAACAGTATAGCTGGCAAGGAATATAAATATCTTTAAGTTTTGTTTTTTCACCTAAAATTTGCCTTTATTTTATTTATTTTGTTTTAGAGATGCCTGAACATTTAAAAAGTTTTCATAAGGAAAAGATCTTCTTCCAATGGCTCAACAGACCATTACTAATCCCTCGCCTCCTCTAACCAGTTTGCACACTGTTGGGCAACAGTTATACAATCTTCAACCATAAGGATCCTCCAGGTGTCCACCATTACATTGTTCATCCATCTACATCTACTGCTATGAATGGCCTCACTCATTATTTTTCTGGGGAACTTAGCCTATGGCATTCAAGCTGCATAGTCAGCCTACCTCAATCTTCCCAATCTTATATGCTTCACTATATCAGGTTCACCAAGAAAGTTATTTAATTCTATGATAAATAACCTTCTTTAGGTTATTCGTATCTTATTTGAGATTTTTTAATTATTATTATATTCAATCTATATAAGATTATTTCTTTATAAACCCTTTTTAATCTCACAGTCCTTAATTACAATTTTAAAACATTATTACAATACTAGTAGGCCCGTGCGAAAAATTCGCACAGCATATTGCTATAAAATGCCAAATTCATAATAAAATAAAATAATGCAACGTATCAAAATATAAAGAAATCAATTGTTACTTTACTGATAAATATAATCGACAAAGGAAACAAAAATTAATTAAAATCTTCATTAATGTTTAGAACCAGCATGTTTACAAATTTCAATAAGCTGTATCTTTGCTAAAAATTGTCCGATTTCGATGATTTTTTTTTTTTTGCAGGGAATTTTGTAATCTTTTATATAATCATGAGCATAACCGAGGGAAAAGTGTATAATTTTTTTAGTTTGTTTTCTTTCGTAACTTGTTTGCCTGAATGTTCGGGGTGATTGGATTATTTTGCCCGCCTGAAGGAGAAGGAAGCCTTCGAAATTGGTGGCTCAATCTTCAGATTTGGTGAAGGATTGACGATGAAATGGCTTGCCCATCAAAAACACCATCGATAAATAATATAAACTCCTCCTCTCTCGATCATAGAGGGCTCGAGTCGACGAAATGAGACATGTATTCAATGACAGTACTACAATTAAAGTAAGGTTGTGTGTATGCAACCCTATGCCTTGCGTTATCTCGAAAATAGTACGTTTTTGGGCTTAAAAATGCAGGATCCGATAGTGCCGAAGGAACTATCTGGGTCTAGCTGTACGCATCAAAATCTTCAAGGTCCAATTTGTCCCTTATCGATCTACAGACCAACCACCATTCCAGTACTGAAGCCTAGCAAAATTTTTGTATCAACTTTATTTATTTTAGAAAGAAAAACAAAAGTGGCCTGATCCTAGGTTTAAACCATGCAGCGTTGGTGTAACAGAATAAATAATTACCAGCCACAACAGTACTCAAATCTAGAACTTACTGTGCTTAGTAATATTTTAAAAACAAATAAATAAATCTGGTGCAGGCAACACACAACTTTTACTTACCGCTCTACTTCACAGAGAAATTATTGTCAAACAAAATTGGGCTTTTACAAAAAGTTTTTGAAGTAAATTTTTAATGAAGCTGAATGTCAAAGTACACATTTGTGAATTTCGTGAATCATTGCAAAAAGTCTTAAAGGCAATCGTAATAAAACAAACCCTATTTATTATATTTATGGTAATAATAATAATCCCTGCTTCGGAGGGATCCTTCGGCATCTACAGGTGGTGCGAGCGGTGCCTCGGTGTCGTATGTTCCCGTAAGACCGGCTGTCATAGGATTCTCAACATTAAACTCTGAACTGTGCTTGGATAATGTAGAGTCTCCCGCTTGAGGAAGAGGAATCATTGGCCAAGTAGGTAGGCAACGAAGGATGAAGTGGGACCGGAATATGAATATTGCCGCAATCCGAGCTTACTTATTAGCTACAACCTTAGAAGAAGAAAAAATTGGATACCGCAGTAGAATCAACCGTTACTGGAATGAGCAATACTCGCAAATAGCGGTATCATCCCAAAGACTCGCTGACCAGGTAAAGCAAATATTGGAGCACAAGTTTTTATCAGAGTCAGAAATTATGGCAATTAAAATGGAAGTAGGCAATATACGGGACCACAATTTGCAAAGAGAAATAGAAAAAGTGGAAAATATAGAACCCGCTTCTGCGAATAGGCAGTTTGACACGACTTTTACGAACAATCAAGAAACTCCACAAAGCACAGAATTACGTAGCAAAATATTAAAAGAGCATATGCTTTATGATGGAATACCCTTAAATAGCAGACCCACAATACCTAAGGTACCATACTCAAAAAGGACGTTAATCACTGCCAGAGCCATCAATGAAATAGTTGCTGAGCATATGTCAGATGGTATAACTTTAGAAGAGATATGCCTTTGGGTATACGTGGGAGCTTGAACAGTCACAATGGAGCTAGGATTAATAAAAGAAAAGGAGTATTGTGATAAAGTTAATAAATCCGAAGATCCTCCCTGGAAAAGAAGAATCAAAAAAAATATTGAGGGTCTACACTGTAAAATTGGAATCATCACTAACTATCATCGAAACCCTCAGAATGCTTCTTCAAAATTACGGAAGAAAATTGATGAAATTATAGTACTCAACATTGGAGGTGTAGCAAGCAATATGTTAAACCAAACTCTTGGTGTTTATATGGAAATCCTTAAACAGAAGTTAGCAGTGTACAGGATCAGGAGGTATACTGAAGCTCAAAATAGAAGACAAAATCATATATTTGGTAATAGGGAAAAATGTTTTTATAAGATTATAAAACCTAAAGAGAATGCTAAAAAAGATGTCTACCCAGATTCTTTAGAAATATCAGAATATTGGAAAGGAATTTGGGAAAGGAAAAAATGTTGGAAAATATTCGCTTTAGTCAACCAAACCTCCAACCTATGGAAACAACCAGTATTACTTTGGAAGATGTAGCAAAGTCACTTAAGCAAATGAAAAACGGGAAAGCTTCTGGGCTAGACAAAATACAAAATTACTGGCTGAAGTATTTCAGCAGTATTCAGTCATCTGGCTTCATGGTATCAAAAACTAATATCTTAAGAGAGAGACCTTCGGGCAAATTTCTGCACAGGCAAGACTTATTTAATTAGAAAAGCAGATAAGGAAAACTTGAAGCCCCAGGATTTGAGACCTATGACGTGTTTAAATGGTGGGTACAAGCTATTAACGGCTGTCATCAAAAGCAAGTTGATTGACTACATTCAAGAAAACGCCATCCTGTCAGTGGAACAGCCAGGTAATAAACCAGGTTCAAGAGGATGCAAAGTTAGAACTTCTGTTGATAGATTCGTTTATTGCTGCTCAAGTTTCAAAAAGATCTCACAATATTGCTTTATGTTGGGTTGATTACCGTAAAGCATTCAATTCAGTTCCACATGATTGGCTTTTGAAAGTTTTAAATACATTTATATATATCTGAGGCTCAAAAGCCCACATTTATGTCCTTGTTAATTATTCTAAAGGGATTCGTCCCAGAATAAATAAAAGATTATTATTATTTTTTTGTTTCACACATTACATGGTTGTTTGTATGATTGTTTGGAGACCAAATCGGTCAACCAAATATTACATTCATATATTTTCAAAATTATTTTATATTTGTAAATTTATGAACAATACTTGCCGTTCCCAACAATACTGCCATTTGCATTTTTTTTATTGTCACAAATGGCAAGTCCAGCTCATGCAAAGAAGATTGAGATTCTTCTGGTATTAACCCATTACATGAAATTACTAACGGTAAAATCCAGCTTTCCTTTAAATCATACAGTTGTTTTAATTCTTGCGCCAATTCTACATATCTTCTTTGTTTTTTCTGCCATTACCTTGTGCAGATCGGTTATGCATGCTGAGAATTAGGGGCAGGTTTAGAAATTATTCTTTGGTTTCGGTTCACGCACCGACTGAGGATGCAGACGAGCAGACTAAAGACGATTTCTATCATGACTTCAAACGGGTGCTTGCAGAATGCCCACGCCATGATATAAAGATAGTTCTGGGTGACCTTAATGCGCAGGTTGGAAGAGATCCCTCTCGTTTGCCATTAGTAGGAAGACATTTGTCTATTATAAACAAGGATGCCAGGAAACACTTACGCGTAACCGCATGTGTCTATTTAAACCAAATAACTCCAATATCTGAGCTCTATATATAAAGGGAGATTTGAAAGTACATATATTTAATCTATGAATAAGTAGCAATTGTACTACATGGTAAAAATTATAGGAATCAAATCTCTTATCATTTTTTACATGTATTCAAACTCTCATTTTTTTCCTAGTAAAAGTTACTAAAACACAGTTACACTTTTCATAACAGTATTGATAGGTCAAAAGTTGTTACACTAATTGTAAGAGCATAATGTTGTAATTTCAAAGAAGGAAAATTGATCAAATTATTCTATTATTTTCTTTTCTAAAAGGTATTTGGAAAAACTCGAAGATATATATCTAATTACTTTATTATATTATGAGATATAGAGTTATATAATTACACTTCAGCAAATGTAGTTAAGGTTATAAACATATGTTTTACTCATCCATGAAATATTTTATCTTCCATTTCTTCTTTAACTCAAGTACAATAAAATAGGTGTTAAACAATTCCATTGCCTCGATTCATTGGATAATACATATTTTTTACAAAATTAAAAATAATTTTAAAAATTTACATTTAGTTAGGGACTTTCATTTTGTTTCCATGGACACATTTTCTTTTCGTTATATACCTAGTTCTGCCATAAATAATGTTACAAAAGTTGAACTTTGTTTACATCCTTGGGTATTATTTAGATAATCCTTAACTCTATCAGGTTATTTTCTTTACATGTCAGGATAATAACCCCAATTAGTTTCTATTTTTCTTTCCCTCAGTTAACATGGAGTGGGGTGATAAAGAAAACCGAATAGCTGTGATCACCTTATACAAAGTAGGAAAATGTAGATCAGAGATTTTCAACACTTTGAAATCTTTGAGTATCAGCCGTATGTTCGTGTACCACACTATAAATAGATATAATGAGACCCTATCTTTGTATTTAACAGACCTCGACCAGGCCCTTCCCACACTGTGAGAACAGCAAATGCAGTGAGAGCAGTGGCTGCTTGAATCAGAAGAAATCCCATTTCAAAACAACAAATCATGTCTTGGGAAATGATAATCTCTGTCAGATCAATGTCTCGCATAATACAATAAAAAGTGACCTTAGGACGGGTGCATTTTGAAAAATGACAGGACAAAAGCTAATCACTTCCCTAAAAAAAACTAGAGTGGATAGATGCAAAGTGATCCTTGGCCATTAGGCCAATGGTCTTCATCAAAAGATTTTGTTTAGCGATGAGAAAATGTTTACATTAGCTATTGTTTTTTCTAAAATTCTTAGCTTTCCAACATTATATTATATGTACACATTCTGGAGATTATTTCCAGAAATTCCTTTTCCTCCTAAAAAAACATTTTTACTTTCTTCTTCTTTAATCGATTATCAAATTCTTTCATAGTTTATATAGAGCCTTTTTTCATTACTACTATCGATGAAAGACAGATAATTATTTATAATAAATACAATTAAAGGTACTTTGGAAGAAGAAATTTTGAAATTTGTGCATTTAAGCCCTGTTATGTGACATAAATGTGGATAAAATATAGCTGATATTTAATACAATTTAATTGCACATTGATATACTGAATTTAATCAAAATCGTTAGAGCCATTTTTGAAAAAATTGTAAAAATATGTACAATCGATGATATAAAGTGCCACTTTGGGTGAGCCAATTTTAAGGAAAAACTTGCTGTAACATCTCAGGCATATACCTGACTTAAATATGTAATTTTAGTTTTGTTCAGCTTTTAGTTTTTGAGCTAGACTGTTCACACATTCACACACAGACCATTTTATGAGACTTGGTTGTTTAGGCTCAAGGAATCTCAAAACGTGTATTTCCATTGAAAACTCAGATTCAAACATTTTTACGATCGCAATAATTTCCCTTACAATACATTACATATATAAGTAAGTGAAAGTAATAATGTTCCGTGATTCCTTAAATGTTATATTTCAATAATTTATATGGACACTGGGGGCTTAATTGATTTATGGAATGTGAGTGTTATGGGACCCAATAATTAACATCAACACATTAATTTATAAATTTAAATTGAAAACAAAATTTATAAATACAATTATTTTACAAATCAAAAAATAAAAATAAAATACTGTAATGTTCCTTATGTAACTTCTTGGTTCTATTTCAATAGTGGAGCTGACCATATGTGATCGAGATTGCATTAATCTTGGAATTTAATTTTGAATTTGAATTGTTTGAGTCTGAACTAACTAACTGAACAAAAGCTGGCCTGACTCCAGGCGACGAGAGAGCATCCTGCAGCATGTTCACTGGATGTTACTCCGGCAGGAATACACTACTAGAACACGGGTTTTATCCCCATCAATGCAACCTGACAGGGGTGAAATGCCAAATTTTTAAAAATCTTTTCTTCCAAAGTACTTTCACTTTTTTTATTTGAAATAATTAACCACTTCACATTTGAACCTGCTATAAAAAACGGTTAAATATAATGAATGAAGAAAATTGATTGGTAACTAAAGGGGAAATAAAGGCAGGAAGCTATACGGTGTAAGCTACGTAGGAAGCTCGGCTGTTTAGCCAAGAGTACCAGACTTTTGCTGATCCTCTTCCTTTATTCCTCTGTACAGAGCTTTCATATTGTTAGTTAACTTTTATGTACCACTTATCCATAATTTTTTTAAAAGATTTTCATGCAAAATGTTGAGGATTTACTAATATATATCTAATAATATACAATATTTACTAACATTAAGTTAAATTTTTCAACTAGTTCCATGATAAATGTTTCTGATAAAACTCAGAATTTTTCCAAAAGGTCCATTTTCCCCACAATCATTAGTATTGTTTGATACTATACACAGTCGTAAAAGGAAATGGAAAGTTATGAAAATGTATAAATTTAATTTTTTTTTTTTTTTGTGGACAGGAAAAACATGGTAATTAATTGTTTTAAATGAAGTTATACAGCCGTTTTCACTTTGATCATTGCCTATAAGAAAATACTAGAAGACATCCTATAAGAAAATATTTATCTACTCTAAGATTGGTAAGTGAAATTTATGTGATGCACCAGATTTTTTAATTTAAATTTCAGATTAATAAAATAATAACAATATATAAAGTTTATTTTTTTGTTGCTGCAAGACCATGTAAATCTTTGGGCACGAGATGTGAACTTACAGATTTATATTACTTGTGGGATCACATTTAGCCTGGCGAGGGTCACCCAACCTCACATTAATATATACCATGGTCTCTGTGGGAGGGAGGATCTCAGGCAGTTTAGTTTTCCTTGGTGAATGGTGGTTTTCCTTAGAGGATGGTCACCCATCCAAGTACTTACCATGCTCAGCATAGTACTGCATGGTTACCTTTGATTACCTATTGCAAGCACCTTAGACTATCCCAGTTCATTAATAAAATTGGTGAACAAAATATTCAAAATTTGGGAATCACTCCACAGATTATTTTGAATGAACCTTATCACATCCTAAATAAATTAAATAATATTTTTAATATGCATACACACACACACATATATCTATAAATATATATATATATATGTGTGTGTGTGTCTGTGTGTGTGTGTATATATATATATATATATATATATATATATATATATATATATATATATATATATATATATATATATATATATACACACACACAAACACACACACACACACATGTATATATATACACTCATTTTCTATATAATTATTATAAATGGAACATTTATGAATAGAAATTACTGAGTATCAAGATTGACTTTGAGGGATGTTAAGATTATTCAGTTACCTCCCATCTCCAGATACCAGAAGTGAATTTAAAAATCTATCCTCTCCAGCTTTGAAAGTTGTGACAAGGTCACCTAAAAAAAAAAAAGAAAACTAAATTTATTCATACATAAAACTCTTATGGATCCATAGAACAATGATTAGTTTGTAATATTTCTTTATTCTATGACAGATGATTAAGAATGGTCTGAGTGAAATTAAGTTCATTAAAATCAATCAAGATTTCTTCCATAATAATTAGAAAATTTGAAGCTTGGCATCTACACCTTGCTTAGAAAAAGGTAGTATATATTTCACAGCCCTTACATATCACTTATAAATGAGCATAATATAAGGTTCAACAGATCTATTCACTACTTTCAATCAATCTGTTTATCCAATCTTTGTATTATTTTTGATAGTTTTGATTTACACTAAATGATTAAAAGATTATTACAAATGACATACAAAATTCTATAATTTTATGCATAAAATATCTTAAAACAAATATTTCCTAAAATAAGATTCCAAATATTAGTTTATTACCAGTGGTGAGGTTCATCAAGTTGACATACATCCTATTCCGTGATAGTGCAACTAGATGGTCAGCATCATGAAGGCCAAAATATGGCATCTTCTGATTCATGACACCTAATAAGACAGAGATAATGATAATAATGAGTCATTCAAACATTTTGAAATATAAAAATGTTTTAATTACTGTTATTATACCACTAGCAGCAAAACAAATAACTAGTCAGAGGTCAAAAATACAACAGTACTTGTTGAAAGCAAGAGATTAGTGGATTCAAGGATCATGAACATAACCATCAAGAAACCAACAAACCTTTGAGTAAATATTGAATATTACCAAAAAAATTGTGCATCAGATTCAGAGGACAAATTTTTGGACGAACTGCAAAGAAGAATTAACAATTCTCCTGGAGAACTAATTATTATGAAAAACTAGAATGGAAAATAGGGAATAATAAGAAAATGTAGCTGAAAGTTTTTGGGTTCCAAAGAAAGGTTAATTTTTATAATAAATGACAAACATGAAAGGATTTTGAGTATTTGCTCAGCAAATATTCTGTTTAATGGTAATATCATAAGCTCTCTCATTGAGATAGCCATAAATTTACTAGAGAAGAACTATACAGAGCAGAAAGGTCTATTATCAAATACTTCCTAGTTAGAAGGGATCATCTGAAGGATATCATAGATGTCAGAGCTAAAACATGATTTTGAATAGGCTGTCAGAACTACCACCTTCAAATTGGGTAATATATAGAAAAAAGGTTATCTGAACCTTAGGAAACAATGAAAAACGCAAAAAAAAAAAAATCTGGTGAGTCCACTCGCACGACTTTCCTACCTATTTCAGAAAAGTTTTTATATCTATACATATGTCCATCAAGACAAAAAAAAAAAAATTAATTTATTTATTTTCCTAAAAATTGATCAATGAAAAGATTTGAGTATGATTTATTAAAGCACAACTAAAAAGCGCACAAAACAAAACTAACTACAACGCACAAAACTAAAGCAATGTAAACCGGCTTAAGGTAGATCAGAGTAAAAATGTCAGTACCCTCTACTCTAATATTGCTGATCAAAAACTTTTTGCCATAGCTTAATAAGCTAAACAAAAAATGCTAAACGGTGTTTTTCGGGGAGCTCTGAAACGTATAGATCCGTCGAAAACCGCTTATCGGAAATGACCCGATCGTAATACTTTCCTAATCTAGTACAGGTAGGAAATTAATAAATTAAAGCATGTGTAGAAAATAGAATAAGCTATATTATCGCTAATACTGGTTCGATACTCTATAGTATATACTTAGCGAGTTAGGCCCCAAAACATTTTTTTTTCTTTATAACTTTTTTTCCTGAATTTTCTCGGGAATTTCAAAACCATATATGAAAATTGAAAGGACAACTACAAGAACATTATAGGAAAGTTCCACCAAAATCGTTTCATCAAGCTGTTTTTGTGCTAGTCTATAGAAAAACATGTTTTTCATTTATTTTACAGCAGCTATTGTGCATAGAGCATCCAATTTCTGTAACAGACATTAGTAGTCCAAACCCTACAAAATAAAAATAAAAGCAACAAAATCGGTTCAGTTGTTCCCGAGAAAATCTTGGCACAGACAGACAGACTAATGGCTAAAAATGTGTTTTTCGGACTCAGGAGACTCTGAAACGTATAGATCTACCGAAAACCGCATATCAGAAATTTGACCCAACTCGATACTTTCCTTACCTAGTATAGGTAGGAAGACCCAGAAAAACCAAAAGAGTACCAGAGTGAAGTAGATAGAAAAAGCAGGGATATCAGGTATTAAATGGAACAGAGACAGTACACTGAGATTTGCAAAACAGTAGGAAACAGAAATGTAGAACAACATAAAAAATTCAAGTTGTGGTTAAAGTGAAGATACTCTGGAAGCAGCATCTCACAGCTGATAATAGATCCAAGTGTGAGTTCTATAAAAATAACTTCCTCTTCCAAAGAATACAATTCCTCTTCCTCTTCCTCTTCCTCTTCCAAAGAATACAATTCCACCTTGCATCAGACTCTGGCCCAAAAATATAAATTAATAACCAGCCAGCAGCTGTTTTATAAACACCAGCCATATGCAATATTAAAAAAAAGCAGATGTCAAACTGTACTGGTATCAAACTACGATAACTAACCATAACATCCCCCACAATAAACCAGACATACTACTTCTTGATAAAAAAATAAAGAAAGCCATTATCATCGAAGTTGGAGTTCGAGCTGGTGGTAACGTAGCTAAAACAATAAGTGAAAAGATTCGAAAATACCAAGAGCTATCCGAGGAATTAAGGCAATTATACCGGCTGGTGGAAGTAAAATTACTACCCATTATAGTACCCAGCAATGTCTTGATTCTAGAGGAGACTCTGAAGTCATTGAAGTTACTTGAAATAAGCTGGGAACTTCAGGCAATCGAGAAAGCGGTAATGTTGGGAACCACCAACATTGTTAGAAATTTTTTTAATATTTCAAATTAAATATCCAATAAACTGTATCCTTAACCTTGGTCTGGGCTGGTGAATTTATTCTGCATAAAGCCAAGACGTGAAAAACAAAAAAATAATAATATGTTTTATTTATTCTAGAAAAAGTTTTATGGAAAATATAATAAAATAAATGAATAGAAATAATAAAAAATTATAAGTTAACTTCTCACATTAATGATTTACAAAAAAAAAAAAAAATTAAAAACAACTTAATATTTTATCTACATATTTACAGAAAACTTATTTACAATTGTTTAGGAACTGGATGGAGAGGAAGTGATTGAATAGGCGAGATTGAAAGGTAAGTAGGGTATTGGAGTGAAGGATGTAGTAGGGGATGGAATTCCATTGGGACGAGGATGGAATAATAAAAGATCAGTCGAAATAAATCTGAAGACTGCTTAGCGCAAATTGTGGGAGTGAACAGAGGATTTGAACTGAAAGAGCTCGGTAGTGTATGAGGGACATGGAATTGGATTCTTTGGAAAAGGAAGGATGCTAGGAAATATTTGCAATGGTAGAAAGGATAAAGCCACTTCAATTCTTTTTAAAAACATGATACAGAGGCATCTCTCAGAATCCTGAAGATGAATCATACAAAGCAGTTTATCAGACATTTGAGTTTTATCTCAAGATCCCAAGAGATGACTCCATATACCATATGACAGTAGTCAAATTGGCGAAATATTAAGGAAGTAACCAGGAGTTTACGGGTTTCTATTAGAAATAGGTGATAGAGGTAATTTAGATGTTTTAAGATAGGAGAGGAATGACATGAGATATTGGATACATGGTTTTTCAGGAGAGGGTTTGGTCAAAGGTTATTCCAAGGTTTTTAATGGTAGAATCAAATTTGATGGGGTTATCATTTAGGTACAGGATTGGAATATTAGGAACAGTTTTAAGGAAGTAATTGGAGCCTATTACCATTGCCTTTATCTTCTCCGCATTTAACTTCAGATTGTTAGCTTCTGCCCAGTCACAGATTCTATTTAAGTCTTCTTGAAGTTTTTTAGTAGCTTATAATAGATCAGAAGGCAGGAAGGACAGTTTTATTTGGAAATCATCAGCATAGATATGGTATTGGGAGTAATGGATTAGGGTGGGAAGGTCATTAATATATATAGCAAACACAGTAGGTGATAGAGAGGAACCCTGAGGAATACCACAGGCGAAGGGAATTGTCTTGGATGGAGAGTGACTTGGAACGATTTACATACTAGAACCAATTTGAAAGGAAGGGTTTGAACCAATGTAGGACACCGTCAGATAGAGGAAGGTTTTTGTGTTTTGGTAAGGAAGATGTGATCAGCTGTATCAAATGCTTTGGAAAAATCTAAAAGAACAAGGATCATTAATTTTTGGTGTTCAATGGAGTTTTGGAGGTCATGGGTTATTTTTAGGAGAGCAGATTGCATTGAATAGCCAGGTCAAAAGCTATTGAGAGCCCTTTAAACTAAAAAAAATGCCATAAATCAGATTCCCATAAACAAATTAGAACAGGAGATATGAAATAAAAAGTTTGAGGAGTTTTATCCTTTATTTATGCATTATAAAGGAGTAAAGTCTAAAAGATATTAATATTATTTGGAAGAGCAGTAATTCAGCTTTCCAACAGAGGTAGTAACATTGAATTTGGACAAAATTCTGAATGGTATAGTGAATAACACAAAAAAAAATCTTTCCGAAAATTTATATTTTTTTATTTCAATAAAATTCGTATTAGAAGACACTAAAACAAATCTGAATTGCTTTTTCATGACCCAAATTTACTTAGCCTACTTTATTGGAAACATCTTTTGGTTTTAGTAATTTCTAATACATTCGAATTTATTTAATATAACCAGTAATATTTTGTCTTTATTTTATATTAAAAAAAAAAAAATAAATCAATTAGTTTGTTATAACCAAGAAACCCATGTAGAGCAAAGGCAGAAAACAATTATATAAAAAAATGTTGAAAGCAGCTTTGAGAGAACTTGGAGTCCCTTTGAAGTTGGTTCGACTGATCAGAATGATAATGGATGGTACAACTTGTACAGCGAGGATTCAGTCGGATCTCTCCCCACAGTTTGTATCTACCAGAGGTGTTAGACAAGGCGAGGGCCTCGCCTGCTTATTGTTCAACCTAGCCTTGGAGAAAGTTCTATGTGATTCAGGCTACAGACCTCTGACCACCATTTTCAACCGGCTCGTTCAGGTACTTGTCTTCCCTGATGACTTGGATATTGTCGCAAGTTCTTCTGAGTCCTTAAGAGAAGCTTTTCTCAAGTTGGCAAAGAATGGGGAGGATATGGGGATGTGTGTAAACCAGGAGAAGATAATGTATATGAGAGCTGGGCCAGGAGTGGAGACAGCAGACTAACAGCCCATGGTGATGGACCAATTTATGTTCCAGAACGTCGACCAGTTTGTGTATCTGGGGTCAGTGGCGTGTTGTGGAAACAGGATCTCCATAGAAACCAGTTAGCGAGCCCTCAAAGCCAACAGGTGCTATTTTGGTCTCAGAAAGCATCTGAGAAGTTCTTACCTATCCTGCCGCACTAAGTGTCTCTTAAATAAAACTCTTATAAGGCCTGTTTCAACATACGGATCAGACA